AAAAAAAAAAAAAAAAAAAAAGAATGACTCTAGGGGTGCCTCCTGGGTGGCTCAGTGGGTTAAGCCTCTGCCTTCGGCTTGGGTCATGATCCCAGGGTCCTGGGATCGAGCCCCGCATCGGGCTCTCTGCTCAGCAGGGAGCCTGCTTCCTCCTCTCTGCCTACTTGTGATCTATGTCAAATAAATACATAAAATCATAAGGAAAAAAAAATGATTCTAGAGTGGTGCCTGGGTAGCTGTCGGTTGACCTACTACTCTGTTTTGGCTCAGGTCACAACCTCAGGGTCCTGGGATCAAGCCCCGCACCAGGCTCTGCACTCTGCAGGGAGTTTCACTGAGGTTCTCTCTCTCCCTCTGCCTCTCCCCCCATTTGCATAAGCACACACTCCAAAATAAAATCTTAAAAAATAATGATTCTGGGGCTCCTGCGTGGCTCAGACATTAAGCATCTGCCTTCAGCTCAGGTCATGATCATAGGATCCTGGGATCCAGCCCTGCATTGGGCTCCCTACTCTGCCAGAAGCCTGCTTCTCCTTCTCCCACTCCCCCTGCTTATGTTCCCTCTCTTGCTGTGTCTCTATCAAATAAATAAAATCCTTAAAAAAAATGATTCTAGAGAGATCACTGGGGAAGAGCGGGGAGCATGGAGATGGAGAGTCTAGGTAGATAGACTGGAATATAATCAAAGGGGAGAGAGAGGGACGTGATGCAGACCTGGGAAGGCAGAACAGGGTATTTAGAAGGGGCTCAGTAGGTGATTATCTCACCTGCACATCGAGCTCCTGGCTTCGAGGGTCTTGTAGGAAAAACCGGAAAGCCTCCTCCCACACCGGGCTATTGGTGCAGTAGACAGCCTGGAGGGGCACAGGATGGGAATAAGGATGTGTGCCACAGTACCAGTCCTGTTTCTCCAGAAAGCCTTTGCCTTTACAGGCAGCCCAAAGGGGAGACGCCCTCCTAAGAACAGCCCTCCCAACCAGACGTGCATGCACACACGCATACACAATCTCCCACAATGCCGTCCTGGCCCTCACCTTGCTCTCCTGGGTCATATCCTGAATTGACAGTTGTACCATGGGGTTGGGTTCCTTGTTCGCCTTCTTCAGCTGTGGAGGTAGAATTCAGAAGTCACCATTTTGGGTGTTTTTGGTTTTGTCTCAGTGAAGGAATGTGGGCTCTCAATCTCTTTCCAGGTGGCTGTGATCCCCTCCTTGGAACCCTTGTGTTACATGCTGCTGCTTCTGCAGCTGAGTGGGGCAGGGGCAAGAGCTGGGCTAGGAAAGCTACATCCAGAGCTTCCTATTCAGTTGCCCTCAGAATCCACACTCACAGGGAGATCCTGGGCCCGATCCAGATAGACAACTAAGATGGCGGCTGATGGCGGCTCTGGGTGGGAGGAGACTCCTCGATTCCACTGCAGAACCTGGAGGGAAGGGGGGGTGGGAATAGTCAGACCCTTGCCCTCATGTCCCCTGTATTTCCAGCTTCCTGTTTCCCATGTTGGTTACCTGCTCTAGTTTTTCTGCATTTGGCAAAAGTGACAGCCATTCTAGCTTTAAGTGAACTTGGCCTTGCCCGCCTTGCAGAGGAAACCACTGGAGGGGGAAGCAGAAGAAAGTGAGGTATAGCAGATCAGGTATTCACACAACCCTTTCCCTACCAATGTAGCAACTCCTGTCAGCCCAGTGGGTGAGGCCACCGTCTTCCTCTGTTCTCAACTTACATCGTCCAGTACTCCAGCCTGTAGCACCTTCCCTACGTCCAGCTTCATCCTGGAGGGGGCGGGGAGGGGTGACAGTGAGTGGAGAAAAAGGAGAGTGTGGAAATTAGGAGCATGTCATTGGCCTTCCACTCACCCACCTAGAAATAAATGGCGACTCTCACACTCCCTTCTTATAATCAATAGATACTTATGTGTGTGTTCACGTGCGTGTGTGGTAGAGGCGAAGGGGTGGGGAGGTCGGGAAGGAAAATGATACACAGTTCTCGGGCCTGGAAAAGCATTATAATGACCTCTGCAACCCTGGTAGCACTGAAGCTTTAGAATCCTAACACATACAATCTCACCTGCCCAGAAAGTCATCTTTGTCTGGATCCTTGTCAAACACCTCCACCTCAATCTCCTGCCCTGGGACCTCGTGTACCATCACCTGAAGCACACACAGGGAGAAAGGGCTCATCAGCTACACTGTGAGGATCATCCGATGAGCATCTTCTCTCACGGCCCCCAGGACACCCCTGCCCCCATCTGACAGCCCCACTCCTCAGCTCTCCCACCTCGTAAGTTTCTCCCCACTGGGGGTTGAGGTCCTCATCAATGACTCGACTGCAGAATGCCTGGGTGCCCACTCGCACCAGTGCATAGGGGTCTGACTTGCCCTCAATCAGGCCCTTCACGTATTTGTCCTTGGAGCCCAGACCTCGGGCAGCCAGCAGGTGAATCCGAATAATGCCCTGTGCAGAGCAAACAGATCATGAGAAACCAAGGACCCAGCACGAGGTTCCTCAGAGGATGATCTGTCAGATGGGGGAGAGGCCATACCCTGGGCAGAGGGGAACGCAACTGGGCCACATCATGAAGGTCAGGCACAAGGGGCACCAATAATCGGTTGGGCAACACAAGGAAGGCAGCGATGGAATCCATGATCATGGTGTCAGAGAGGGAGCTGGATGAGGGAGCAGAAAAGGAGGTGAGTGTGGCTCCAACTTCCAATATACCCCCAGCCCCAGCTGTTTCCCACAACTAAGAGATGCCTAAAGCTAGAGGGACATCCTTTCTTGAAAATCCTTTTTCAGGTGCCTGGGTGGCTCAGTCGTTAAGCATCTGCCTTTGGCTCAGGTCATGATCCCGGGGTCCTGGGATCGAGCCCCGCATCGGGCTCCCTGCTCAGAGGGAGGCCTGCTTCTCCCTCTCCCACTCCTCCTGCTTGTGTTCCCTCTCTTGGTGTGTCTCTGTCAAATAAATAAATGAAATCTTAAGAAAAAAAAAAAAGTTTTTTTTTGCTACTCTTTTACCCCAATTCCTCACTTACTGCTCTGAACCTTCACTGCCATCTCAGCTCTTCTTTTTCTGTTTACCCCTGCGGAGAAGCCTGCAGCCCTCTTCACTCTACCCTGCATGCTCTCCCACAGGAGAAAATCACAGTATGGAGCTTTTCAGGAGTATTCGTCATCTCTCCAGCTAGGATGATCAAGGCTCCTGGAGGGTACTGGCTGCATCTTTTACTGTTTTTTGTTGTTTTTAATGTTTTACTTATTTATTTGACAGAGAGAGAGAGACAGCGAGAGAGGGAACACAAGCAGGGGGAGTGGGAGAGGGAGAAGCAGGCTTCCTGAGGAAACCCGATGAGGAGCTGGATCCCAGGACCCTGGGATCATGACCTGAGCCGAAGGCAGATGCTTAACGACTGAGCCACCCGGGCACCCCTCTTTTACTGTTTTGTATCCCGAAAACCCGAAGCCCAGGGCTGGAACATTTAGGTGCTCAATAAATCCGGGTGCCTGGGTGGCTCAGTGGGTTAAGCCTCTGCCTTCGGCTCAGGTCATGATCTCAGGGTCCTGGGATCCGGCTCTCTGCTCAGCAGGGAGCCCCCTTCCCTCTCTCTCTCTCTGCCTGCCTCTCTGTGTACTTGTGATCTCTCTCTGTCAAATAAACAAATAAAATCTTAAAAATAAATAAATAAATAAATAAATAAAAATAAATCCTTGACACCTGAGTCCTGGGATATCCAGCAGATTGGTCATCCCCGTCCAGTTGATATCTAGGGTCTGGAAGGAAAGCGCAGCGGGGTCAGAACAGAGCACCTGGTGGCATGGTCACACCCATCCAACAGTTGCCAGACCCCTCAGGCTTTCTTCCCCCAAGCCCCAGAGCTGGCCACCCTCTCCCTCCCAATCTTCTCTGGTTCCCTGCTCCCCCATGCCCCTCAATGTTTTCCCTTACCGGGCGTCGGATGAAGAACATCGACACAGCTCCCACGATAGGAAGGTCCCCCATGAGAGGCTCAAGAATCACCCGTAAGACACCATGTAGCTGGGGCAAGAGAAGAACAGACCATTTCTCCACAAAACGCCTTCTTTCTGTCCCAAACTTTCCCAGCCTTGGTTTTTCCAAACCTCCCACTTCCCCATATCTGATGAAATTTAGGGCAAAGGCTCCCTATTATGGGGACCCCTGACATCTGCCCCACCTGCATGCCTTTGACTCCTGCTTTGCAGAAATATTTCTTCACTTCCACGTCAATCTGCACATCACCTACATAGCTGGCAGTTGATAAGGAAGAGAACAAAGAGGGTTGGTACCGGGCTGAAATGGGGGGAGGGGGAACGAAGCTGTCAGAGTGACCAGGATCCTGCTGAAGAGGGGGCTGGAAGAATGAGCGGTATTACCTGATGTTCAAATCCAACAGGATCTGTTCTTTGCTCCGACCAGGGTGAACCTTGACGCCTACGATGCGCAATGGCTGTGGAGAGATGAATTCTTAACAGAGAGAGAAGAGGGAAAGGGAGGAGTATCTCAGCCTCTTCTGGGCTCCCCACCTTCCCCGCCCTGTCTCCTTCCTCCCATTACTTTCCTTTCTACACACATACCTTTTCACCTAGTTCCACTCGTGTAAATGTAAATGTTTGCAGATGGGTGTTAGAGCCTCGAACAGCTGGGGCCACAGTTTCAGCCAGAAGCTTCTCCATGTACTGGCCCAGGAAGGGCCAGACCTGGGCCACAATCTGGAAGGAGAGGGAACCTGTCACAGGAGAGCCTAATCTTCCCCCTAAAGACAAGTTCCTTCAGAATCCTCCCCACAGAGAGCACTGGGGCTAGACCTGATGTGTGGCAGGGTCTGCCTAGAGAAACAAACCCCATTCCCCACTCAAGAAAAAGCCAGTGCTCACCTTATTTAGCCACTCAGCCTTTTCCACATCCGGAAAGCTGACCTAGAGGTGAGGAAGGGAGATGGAGAGATGAGCACACACCTTCCACCTGTGGTTTCCTACGGAGATGCTGGGCCGCATGCCCACAGAGGAAACAAAAGCTGTGGCAGGACCTCCCCACACCCAGGGTTCAGTGTGAAGGGGCTGGGATGTCCAGTACATTCACTCCTCCACAGGGTTTAGGGGCACGGAGTTCTGATGAGGGGCCCTGACGGGGTGTGGGCCACACAACGTTGCTTTGTGGACAGCTGTGATGACAGCTGCTGGAGCAGAAGGGGAGGGAAGGAGAAGGGCACATACTTTCTGGAGGGGGAGGTCCTGACAAATCAGTTTAAGGAGGAAATCCTGGGATTTGGAGAAGTCTTGGCTTCTTTTTGCAACCTTCCCACCTCACCTCGAACTAGAGCTTCTACACCCAGAAGGTGAAGAGGGGAAGCAGCTCCTAGAGTTAGGGAGGGGCCAGCAGAGTCATTTAGGCCTTAGCCGGTTTTGGTTTTTGTTTTTTTCCTCCTTCTTCTTTTTATCAGTATGACTCCTTTTATGGGAAAGAAGGACACCTGCGCTTTGTATTGGGGAGGCAGAGGGATAGTTGTTTCAGAAAGAAGAGGCTTTCTATGATGAGGAGCAGGAGGAACAAAGACAGTTGCTGCCTGGGCTGCACGTCCCCCTGGGACTTCTTCCCCCTTTCCCCTCTCCAGCCCCGGGCCTGCGCCCATGGCCCTATCTGCCTAGTGTCAACTTTGATTCTTCTCTTCTGCCCTTCTCCCCCTAGACTGGCACCTCTGCTGGGAAGGGCAGCAAAGCGGAGGCAGGGAGGGGCCGGGTAACGGGCTCTGCCCCCGCAGGGCCGAGAGAAGGAAGGAGGTGAGGGGGTGCAGACCTAGGGTCCGGGTCCCAACCGAGCAAGCGCAGCGCACAGTCCGGAAAAGGGTGGGGCCGACCAGGGCCGGTGGAGTGTGGGCAGCGGGCACTGCAGCAGTCGCACTACCCTCCCCCCGCACCCCCGCCCTTCGTCCCGCAGGCGCCTCTGCTGCGCTGCGGCCCAACCGCCTGGGGCTGGAAGGCGAGGGCCGGGGGTCGGTCGGGGGCGGCGGCTCTCCTGGGCAGTGCTCCTGGGGCTGGGTGCCAGCGGGTCTCCAGGAATAAGAGCGGGAAAGGGGAGAACCTTATGGCCATAAGTAGGGGGGAAAAAAAAAAGTCTCAAGGAAGACTGGAGAGACGAGGGAACCCTCTGAGCCGCAACAGGGATGTCCGGGAACAGAAGGCGCGAGCGGCACCAGAAGAGAGGAGCGCTCAAGGAGCATGGCTAGGAGGGAGAGCCACGGCTGAGACCGATCCCCCAGATGTTCTTACTGCTTGCCCAGGAGCAGAGGAAGAAGTCCTGATTCTGTAGAAGGATCGGGATCTGGACGCGGGGAAAGGAGGGAGCGGGAAGAGTGGCTACTCGGTCCCAAGAGTGGCGCGTCCCATCAGGGAGGTGGCTAGCGGAGCGAGAGGGGAGTCTCCCTCCCATGGTCCGCGGGTGGGGAGCTGCCTTTAGGGACAGGAGGAAGATCCCTAGAACCCGGGGACTAGTAGGGGGGGCTATACAGCACTGAGGGTGCTCGCTCACCCAGGCAGGTAGTTCTCGATGGCTCATATAAAGTGTTTTCGCCGTGAGCCGCTCCTCATCGTCCAGCAGCTGCCGCGCTGCTCGAAGGCTCCGTTCTTTCTCATCGCGGACCCGGCGCCAGCCCAGGTAGAGGGCGAGGCCGAAGAGCACGAAACCCACGCTGAGTCCCACTGCGCCGGCCAGGTACACCGGCACCAGCACCAGCAGCCGCCGCCCGAACGAAGACAGCAACGCCATGGCCTCACCCGCAGCGCCTGGGCGGGCAGGTTGGTTCCCAGAACCCAGGTCCGGCTTTGCGTGAGCAGCGGGGGGCTGGTCAGAAGGGTCGGAGGGAGTAGAGGGCTGGTCCACGAGGCTGGGACTGGAGCCGTCGGCAGGAGAGTGCTCCATGGTGCCACCGCTGGAAGGACCCGCCCGACCCACACCCCGCAGAGAGGTTGCTAGGTCTAGCACCCAGCTGCCCCCTGCAAACAGAAAACCCCACGCTGGGGGAGGGGACCCTAAGCCACGCCCCCTCCATCTGACCGCTCGGGTTGGCGGTAGCTGCACAGACCAAGGTGGAGTCGAAAGATAGAAACCCTGCCCCTCTTCCGCCGGGAGCCGGTAGGGTTCGGGAGAGGCAGGACCTCCTTGATTAGACCGGCGTGCCAAGATGGGCGGTCTGGGACGGCGGGAAAGGTCGGAAAGAGGCTAAAGGGCGGCATTTGATTGGTCAGAAAGAGAAGGAGGCGTGACGTACCGTTTAAGGAGAGGCGGACCAGGCGCTCCCCCACGTGGGGTTGGAGTGCCTGCGGTATGACGTCATGCGGAGCCGCGCCGCCAATTACTGTTTTACCGGGACTTGGGGTTGCGAAGTGATGGGGTTGTGGAGGATCAGGATTTACTTCCACTCCATTCGCACGGTTTGGCAGGATTTGTCTGGAATTCCTACATGTTCATTTGTCAGTTTTCCCTAGTCTTTATACTCTTGAGTACATTACTTATCCTTCAGTGTTTCCCTGGCTGTCCTTAAGAAAGAAAAGGAAAACACCCTGTGTGGAATGAAAATGTTCGATGACCGACCCTGGCTATCTTGTCCCGTCCTCTACTTTGTGCAGTGCAAAGACAGCAGCTAGAAAAAAGCTGGAAAATACAAGAATTACAGAGTTGAGATTATCGAGCCTTCAGGGAAGAAGGAGAGAGAGAGAGAGAGAGAGAGAGAGCGTGACTAGGAAGTGAGGCTTTATTTTATTTTTTTTTAGAACTCTCCAAGACGTAGTTATTTCTATCATAGAAGACAAATTAAATTGGCTCGCAAAAGGTAGGGGGAGGGGAGACGCCTCAGCTGCAACGGATTTGATTACATTTTCCAAGAATTTCCTGACCCTGAGGAACTGCTAGAACGTTAAAATGAGACAAGAGTAATGAGACAATTCTGTTTCTTATTTGCCTGAGTTAGAAGTAAAGTTCGGAATACAGTCAGATGGAGAACTACTGCAATTCCATGTTGTGCTGTGTAAGTTTAGGAAGGGAGAAGTGCAGGGTATACTGATAACTACTGTTACTAGTTAACTGCACTTACCAGTGTTGTCCAGGGACTTAGAAACTAAACCGGAAGTCCAGGAGGGAAGAGTTGGTCATAAAACGATTATCTTTTAATGCACTATGTGTGGGGCTTGTGTTTCTGTTTGATGCAGAAGGGGAAGTAGGGTTGATTGGTGGAGAGCCCAGATCTGCAGCTGATAAATATTATCTGCCTCTGCAGAGTACAGATTTCATCAGACTGTTTCACTGTTCAAAACCTAGCCCTGATCAACCTTACCCCCTTACCCCCTTAATCTTAAATTTTCCCACTTCCCCTTTTCTACTTCCCTAAGGCTAACAGTATCTAGAGCGCTTCCTTCAGTGTGCAGAACTACATAGGGAACAGCTTTCTATCTTCTGTGTACATCTTCCATGTTCTCAGAGGTAAGCAGGTGGGAAGAAGCTCATGGAGTCTGGAAGAGGTAAGGGTGACCTGCTTATCAACTGATGAAGCAGAACTACAGCAGGAAAATGAAGGAGCCTCCTTAGAGGGAAACCTCTCTGTAAACTGAAATGTGCCAAGTACTAGAGTAGAAGGAGCAGGTCACTTCACTAGGGGTGGAGAGCACCACCAATGGGGTTTCCTTTCCAAGCTTCTCCACTTTCTCACCCCATGTCGATCATCAGACCCTTCTACTAAAGATGGTCTCTGGAAGACAAAAGCCCACCCTCAGGAAGGGCTCTTCCCAGCTGGGGCCCAGCAGCCAAAGGATCAGCAGCTGCAATGCAGGGACCAGAACAAGTAAACAGGGTGGGGTCCCTGCCTGGAGACAATTCTGCTGTCCAGGTGCCACCTGGTGGCGATAAGCAGTAAATCAGTAATGGGGGGAAGCATGGCCATTATGTTAGAGAAGTAAGTGAGGAAAACGCCAAGACTTCCTGGATTTGCAATCTGCATCTGTATGGAAACTTCATTCATGTCCTAGGGGAAGCAGAGGGTTACACGTGATAATCTAGTCTTTGCCCTCTCAAGATGGAAGGGACAACGAGATTTGAGGAAATTTCCTCTATTATTCCTCAAAAGTTACTGCAAAGTAGTTCTATCATTAGAATTTTCTGTCAAGTCTGGAGTCAGACTCCCTGAATAAATTCCTGGCTCCAAAACTTACAGTTGCAGAACCCTGGGCAGCTGACTCTCGGTCCGCCTGCTCTCTCCTCTACAAAACAGATTCGCGAATACTACCCACTGTCGGTGAGACGATGCATGTGAAGTGTTAGCACAGCGCCTTGGCTTATATTATTAAGTACATAACTAGTCTTCTGGAACTCTGTTTATCTCTTGTGCAGCAAGACAGGAACTTATGGGGAGGTCTTCAAATATTTGAAGATGTCTATTAGGTCTTCCCTCAGTCTTTTCCTTTTTTTCCCCCTGCGACCCCACTGGTTTATCAACGGGCCTCTTTAAAAATTACATTTAGCACACAGAATATTTAGGAGTGGTGCTACTCAGACATGGTAGAACCGCTCTATTTACAATGCATTACTCCAGTTCTGTTACCCTTATGGAGCTCCTCAAGAGGTGCCTAGAATATAGCAGACTCTTAATATATATGAATCACCTACTAGAAGGACTGAGACTTTGTTTTTGTAATCAGCTGGAAGTCCTGTGTTGTTTTCATGTGAATTACTGCTAATATAGATCTCTGCATTTCTTCCTCGGGTGGGCTCAAGCAATTTTTTAGGGGGAGGGTGAATCCAAATTGATCCAGACTGACCTCTTGGATTAATTCAGTGAATCCACCTTATAGCACTTTCAGGAGTACTTGGTACTTCCTTGTGTTACTGTTGATAATAGGGCTTCTTGTATTTTTACACAAGTTTTTCTTTCCTTATTTTTTTAAAAAACAGAATATCGCTCTTGGGTATATCACTAAAGTAGAGGTTTCTCTAATAAAATGCACTAATCAACATTTACTAGGCATAAATGTTGAGTTTTGACTCCACCAAACTCGACTATTAACTGAGCCATGATTATTTTCTTATCCACAATGACTTAGGTGAGAAGCAGGACAGCAGCCCTGCCATCTGGGAACTGGCTTGGCACGACAGGGCTTCGGATCTGTTAGGGGCTGAGCTGGGCTCACTGCTGGGAAATGGTGTTCTCCTACTGGACATAATCTCACAAAACACCAGTGTCACACAAAGGAACTCAGTGACTGTGATGAAGTGAAGCAAAAAGCAAGATCATATTTCACAATTCTGTTTAAACACGAAATATGGTCGGTGTGCAAATCATGAAATAGCAACCATCCCCCTTTCCCAGCTAATGAGTGACTGCTGCTTTGTCACCAATTTCAGCTTCACTCTAGTCTGCCCTTCTCCTGGATAAGATACAGATACCCAATCACAGGGGCGCCTGGGTGGCTCAGTGGGTTAAAGCCTCTGCCTTCAGCTCAGGTGGTGATTCCAGGGTCCTGCCCCGCATTGGGCTCTCTGCTCGGCAGGGAGCCTACTTCCTCCTCTCTCTCTGCCTACTTGTGATGTCAAATAAATAAATAAAATCTTAAAAAAAAAAAAAAAAAGATACCCAATCACAGAAGTGTCCCTGCTTCCCTGACAGCACCCAATCCAGAGTGAAGCCCCACTCCCTTGAACCTTTCCCCAAATCACTCAACCAAAGCCCAAGTCCTCAAAGTCCTTTCTAATGGCCCCTCGCTAGGACACACCATGGGTCCCATGTGCCACGCTTTCTCCACTACTGCAGTGAGCATTAACCCCAGCTTATCTGGCTATAGGTGTACTCCTGGTGGCCTTTAGCTGGTCTTATGTTAGTAAAGAACATACAATGTCTACAGTTTCCCAACTATCTCTTTAGAGATACTCGGCAAAAAGAAACCAGGCAGGATTTGGCAAAAAGAAAACAGTCAGGATACCAACAGTCATAGATGTTGGTATCTATGATCACATTTGTCTCTAAATGTTTATAAACCATCTCTTTTAATAATCCAGAATTGTGCCAAAAAAATCAACATTAAGCTTATCAACGTGTGGTTTCTAAAGTCCACAAACAGTATTTCAGTATTTGACCACTTTTAGTCTTTAGGCCATTTCTTTTTTCTTTTTTTATGACGAACCTTGACTTAACCCACCATCTCCAACCCCAGGTGTAACCTGAGTGCTCAACCAGACAAGAAAGCAAGAGGTAGCAGGAGTTACAATGGGGGAAACACAACTCAGGATCACTTTCTCTACCCCAAATCCACTGTCCCGTCAGACACCTGAGTTGTTTCCCCTACATCAACCATGAGCTGAGGAGGAACTGAGGATTGGCTATGGGGGTCCCTGGCCTTACTGACTCTTAAAAATGGATTTAAAACCTCTGTGGTTTTTTTTGGAAACAGCGGGAAGAGATGAACACCGAGGCTCGTGTCCCCAGAAGAACTTTCCTTTTCCTAGCACCTCCCAAGCCTTGAAGGCTTAAGGCATTGTAACTGAGGAAGGGATGGGGGATATTAACTGCCATCAACAACTCAAAGAGCAACTGCCACCTGCCCTACTGTTTGAATAAGGAAAGGATCTGTCAATACATAGCCCATTGCCATTTCCCAGCACAGCCACCCCTCCTTAGTACCTGCCCCCCTAAATGACCCCAGGAGCCCTGGTTACTAAGGTATCCTGGGAGTAGTACATGCAGATAGAAACCAGAAACAGATGGGACTATTTTTAAACTAGACTGGGTGGCTCCAGTGTTTTTACCCCACAAAGCCCCATTTGGTCTTATTCTGGGTCTCTACCCTTCACCTGGCCTCAGCCCAACCTTACCCGAACTATGTGAGGGTAGGGGGTCTTTATCCCATTTTGGCATGAGATCTATTTACTGCTCCTATCTTCCATACAGAATATCTAAGCAAGTTTTCACTGCCTCCATTTGTTAAAAATAATTCTTTTTTTATTTCTTTGGAAAGTGGTGGGCCCTGCCCTATGGATTTCCAGGCCAAGCCAAGGTAAGAAAAGCTCCCCTTGTCTTTGGGCTGGAGTACTATGGTCCCCACATTCCCATGGGCCCAGGAACAGTTCCTGTATTGTCCAACTCTGCTAGGCCCCCAATTGTCTAAAGGCTCTGATCAGGCCTTCTCTCCTGGCCACCTGCTTCCCAATCTTTCCTGGCTTTCCCTCTAGGCAGGGTATTTTTTTTTTTCTTACAAAGCCAGTGCTGGAACCTGCGCTATGCAGAAGAGAGGACAAGACCAGGATGTCCCCATCTTCCCATCAGGGGACATACAGCCCCTCGGTCAGTCCTTCCTCTCTGCTGGCTTCAGTCTGCACTCCTATGCAAGCCCCCCTCTGTGAGGCTTGAAGGAAGATGGACAAGAGGACCCTCATAAAAGGGAGGTGAGAGAAAACAGACCAGCCCAATCCCTTCTCAACAGCAAACTCCTTGTAGTCTCTCGTCCTAGTTCTTGAGTGAGCCCTTCAGACAGGGCCTGGGAGGGCTAGGCGAGTGGGTAAGGGCCCCTCGACCCCAGCCCTGGGAGGCTATACCCCGGGAGTGTCCATTAGCCCCCTCAGTGTGGCATGGCTGTGATACGCATGCTCTGGGAAGCGATGGGGTAAGTCACCATGGGAGTGGTGGTGTGGCTCATCGTGATTCCTGCCAAGGGCTGGGCCATCGATACAGCCACAGGGGCCACAGGAGCCACAGATACAGCCACGGGAGCCATGGAGACAGGTGGGGGTGCCATCCCCTGGGCAATTGTTTGAGCCAGAGCAGCTGACAATGGCGTGATCTCTGGGTTCAAGTGTGGGGGTGGGGGTGGTGGAGCAGCAGGAGGTGCAGCATTAGCTGGGGGAGCAGCTGGAGCTCCAGTGGGGGCCACCAGTTCTTGCTGGGATACAGGGCGAGGCTGTAGAGCCTGGCTGCTGAGAGTAGTGTGAGTCTGGGCAATGCCATGGTTAAAAGTGGCGACAGTGCCCACGGTGGGGGCCAGAGTCTGCTCCGTCGCTGGTGCAGTAGAGCTCAGGGTCATGACCTTGGCCTGATTGCGGAACTGGGCATTTTGTTCCAGCAGTACCTCATTGGTGGCCAGCAGGTTGCTGACCTGCTTCTTTAGTTCCTCCACCCGCTTCCTGAGCATGGCATTCTCCTCCTCCAGCAGCCTGCACTCCACGCCTCTCGGTGCAGCCAGACTATATTCATAGGATTCAAAATGGGGGCCATCTGGGGGGCAGCATCCACCTCGCCGGCGCTTGGGGCCTGGCTCGTGGTCCTCAAAGCCCCTGTCAGGGAGGTCGTAGATATCATAGAGGTCATGACGTCGTCCTGGGGGTACCGGGCCTGCTGAGCCGCCGCCACCGCTGCCTCCTCCACCCCGAGCATCAAACTCAAAATCCCGTTGCAGGTGGCGGAACTTGCACTTGGCTCCTCTCTGGCAGTCACCCTTGAGAAAGTCACGGCAGATAGGGACCTCTTCCTTGCCATTGGGCAGGTCAGCCGGTGAAAGGCCCAGGCCAGCTGCCACTTTCTGCCTCAGCCGAGGGGGAAGCTCTCCTGTCTTCTTATAACCATCCTCATCCTCCTTGGAGCCATGGATGAATCGGCAGTTTGGGCGGCTACACTCCTTGTTCTGGAAGTCATGGCAGAAGATGAACTCATTTTTGCTCACCCCCAAGTTGGATACCTCACTCATGTCTGGATGACGATAGCGGCAACGCTTGCCTCGCTTGCACACATTCCTTAGGAAGTCTCTACAGATGGCATCTGAGCTGGCCCCGCCACTGCCTGCCCCTGCCCCACTGGCCTCCTCACTGCCACCGCCTCCAGGGCCTCCACTGCTGCTCCCAGTGCCGTTGGCATAGCTGTCCCGGTCAGGCATCCTGGTCCCCCCCAACTCAGGGCTTTCTTCTTTTTCTTGCCACCCTTGGTGACCACTAGGAAAGAGGAGAACCGTGTCAAACAGGAATCTTCCAGAGAGGCCACATTCTTCCCAGCTATAGAGCAGGCAGTCCAGCAAAAAGCAGGCCAGAGGGGCAATGGCTTTGGAGATGGAAAATCTAAGGGATGAGAATTCTGGCTGGACTGGCTGGCTTGTCAGAAGTCCTGCCCAGGCCCTTGTGCACCTGGTCTGGTTCAGAATGATTCACACTAGCCTGGCTAATGGGGTGGGGAGGGAGGGAGCTGGGGTGAAGCCACCTCATCTCACCAATGATGTTAGGCCAAGGAGGGGGCAAGGAGAAAAGAGTGTTGGGTTTTATTTCCCCTTCCGAGCTGACCTTATTAAAGTTGAGGAAGTGAAATTAAAACTGCTGTCTCAGTGTCTCAATAGGTTAGGAGGAGACTGGGAAGTGGCCAAGATGGGCTGGTGAGCTTACTAGGGCTCTGGATAATGGGGCACTGCAGACAAAACTTCTTTTAACCCCTCTTTTACATGAGGGCACTGTGAAGTATCAGATCTCTAGACCCCAGGAAGTCCTAAGAGACTGGTGTCACCAGCTTGAGGGCAGTCCCTAAATCTATCATTTTTTAGTATTCCCTCCCAGCTCACCACTGTTCTCAATCCATGTGGTCACCCCCCTCTACTCCATTTCAGGGTAAGAGTTCTACAGCTGGAATCTCCACTTCTAGACCCCCAAAGGACAAAACCATCTGCAGTAAGACCAAGGTGGGAGGAAGGAGTTAATTTCACAAGAACCAGTGACCTTTCTTTTCCATTCTACACACCCCTTTCATTCCCCATTAGATCCTACTGACATCAAACCACACCATTCCTCACCCCATAAAGATCCTCTTTATTTATAGACTCTATAAAAGCTTTTTAAGTCTCCTCTTTCCCAAGAGAGCTCTGGAATGTCAGTCCACTGCCCTGGTTCGAGCCCTCCCCTCTCCCCACCCCCAAAAAGACTAGGAGTCCCTGCCACCACGTGTCTGACCTCATAAGCCTTTCTAAGGCAGTGATCAGGCTCCCCCTGCTGTTCAAATAGGAAAACCTCATACTGTTTCCACTGGACTATAAGGAAATCTTTACTGGTTTCTTTGGTCTTCATCTCCCCCCAACCACCTTTTCCATTGCCTTGACTTTGCCTTCAGACCTTCCAAAAATGAACCAACCAGATCAGAGACCAGAATTACAGATGAATCTGTAAAAGAAGAGGGATCCTCTTCCTCCAAAAGGATGTAGTCCCAAAATCGAAACCAAGGAAAAAAGTAGGGTATTAAGGAAGAATCAAACTTTTACTAAAAGTGAAAGGACCCGGTAAAAAAATAAATACCATCTCTCTGAGTCTGAACCATGCTGCAGCTCCCACCAGAGGCTGATAATCAGATATTATACTCCTCCCCACCCAACTCTCCCAGGATAGTTCGATACCTGAGGTAGCTCAGGTGAAGTCCGGGGCTCCTGTGGTTCTCCACCTCCACATCACTGCTGGGTTCTGAACAGGAATAAAAAACAGAGACTTGGGTGGGAGAAGGGGTGAGAACAGAGAACTATAAGACGTTACAATAAAGAAGTTTGACAAAATGGCAAGAGCTCTGAACACTTCCAAGATTTCCTGCGAGTTCAAGCCCAACTTCACCTGTCAAAGGGAGAAGTTGTCAGTAAGAAGAATAAGACAGAACTAATCTGGAGAGCCTAGGAGAATGGGTTGGAAAACCAGCCCTGGGTGAACAAAAGGTGAGAGGTGCCCTGCCTCAAGATGAAGGAAGATGTGGGGATCAGAGCCCGGCCTAGGGTTGAGGTTAATTGACTACGAATGGGGAGCCGTGCAAGGGCAGCAACTGACAGTGCAGTGGGATGGCTGATTAGACTTGGAGGCGGTGATTATGACGCTTCGCAACACCCCAGAGTTTTGGGGGAAAGTCCTAGGAGTTTCCCACAGCAAGTCTTCTAGTTTGCCAGGTTCTGTGCAGTGCGACCGGCGCTCAGCCGTGAACCAGACGAAGAAGACATTAAGGAAGCACAAGTGAAGCGGGAAGGGGGGACTCCAGGTGACATCAAGCTGCGGGGATGGGCAGGGCTGTGACGTCACGAAGCTGGCGTTTGCTCGCGAAGCAGGGTCAGTCAGAAAAAGGGTTCGGCCCTGGGGCGTGAGAAAGAAACAGCTCCGTCCTGGGGGGCCTTGTGTAGCCCGGCCGAGCCCAGCTGCTGGGCCGGCCCCGACTCCTCCCCTCCGGGCGCGGCCTCCACCTAAGTCTCCCGCCTCCCTCACCTGCCGCCGCCGCCGTAGTTGCTGCTGCCGCCTGCCGGTCCTGTAGCTTCGACAAAGAGCCGCCTACCCTATCGCCCTTCCGCTTCCTGCGGAAGAATTGACGCTCTAGCCACAGACCCGGAACTACTCTATGGTGCGCAAAGTACTTGTGCGACTAGCCGCAGGAAGTTCCCAGCAAGCTTTGCGTGTCACCATAGCAACCCAACCCAGCAGCACAGTAAGGCCCCAAAAGCGGGAACTTAGTAACTGAGGTTCAGGCAAGAGTTGGGGAGGGATCGTCGTTTGCCCCTAACTTGGTCGCGAACCAGGTTGAAACCCGTCCCCTTGCGTGTACTACACCCAATACGGGAAGGGCCACCCAGTTATCTAACTCCGAGAGTCGTGGGGCCAGTTGGCCAGCGCAGGATTCACAACCCGGCTGTAGCCCATGTGGCGTGACACTCTACAGCACGGGGTATTGAAGATCTGCTCCAGTGATCCAGAACCCCAGCCAATGGAACCATAAAAACCACGTATCACACAAGACCATTTTTTTCCTTCAGCTAAGACAGCAGAAGAGATGATTTATTGTACACGTGTTACATTCAGCCACAAATGAAAACAGTCCCGAAAAGTCACAGGTCCAGGGCAAAGGGCCAAGAGTCGGTTTTGGTATCGACAAGGCGGGTCTCTCAAAGGTAGTAGCTGCGATCTGATGGCGATGGATGGTCTAGATCCAAATCAAGCTCTAGAGAGTAGGCATGCAGCCCAACAATTGGTACCAGCGTCCCTGGCCTCTGGCTTTCCTTTATTTCTGCTCCTGTGGCTCCACCGGTGCACAAGCTAGCGGTTTACTTGGACCTCTGCCTCATCTTTCTTCTTTTACGCTTCAGCCTGAAAAGCAGACACGGAAATACATCTCCTGCCCACAAACCCAGGTTCAGTCTTTCCCTCCCATCCTAAAAATGTGCATCGGATACCAGGGGTATCAAAACAAACGGGCACTTCGGTCCTACTATCTTTATTGTGTTCAATCCCGTACTAGTCAAGTCAATACTTAGAATTGTTTTTCACCTAAGTTCTTTTATATTTCTAAACCAAATGTTCCTCCCACGTCTTGTCCAAGGCACGCTACACTTCCCTTTTCCTGTTTCGGACGGTCAAGTCTCAACATACCTGCGCATTCGCTTCTTCCTCCACTGCAATCGATCATAACCAGACGCAGTGAATAAAACAAGAGATTAGCTTTAGTACAGGTCTAGGCAGGGGTGTAAAGGACATTATTTAAAACCTGGCAGGTTCCTAAGTATGAGGGCTTAGTCGTAGTAACCCTATCAATTTGGACTCCCACTCTCACCCGCGGATATAAACCTGAATCTTGCGTGCGCTTTTCTACTCCCGCCCCCTCTACCCACAATACTTACTCCCCTCCCCTCTGCTTCTCCCCAAATTATTTTTCCTCCCCTATTAGCTCTTGGGCACCCTTGAGAACCCAGCGGCTCGGGAACCATGGCGGACTTCTTCTCTTGCCCGGCTATCCCTCCACCCATCACCCATCGCTACTGCCTCAGCTTACTGCCAGGAACTGCTTACCTTGGCTCTCATGGCGCAGAGGTTTCTACAGGTAAAGAAAAAAAGGCTACGGTTAGTTTGCTGTTATGATGGCAAGTGTAGAGATCAGATGTTAATGGATTATGCACGGAATGCCAACACAGAAACGAACAACACTTACCCAAGAAGATGGCGCTAAGACCGAGAGAGCGGCGGCGGTCCGCCTCCAGCTATTTAACGGAGACCTGTGTCGTCACTTCCGCTGTTTGGAGCGTCCTTCGAGGGGCGGGGCTGCCGGAGGAGAGTAACAATGGCCTTTCAGGTCCCGGATTAAGTGATTGCATTAGCAGTTCTCTTGGAAACATTTTATTTGAGTTACAAAATTCCCCTCGCCCAGTTTTATTATGAGGACATTGTATTATTTCAATGTGAGCACATATTTCCAATATGGGACCGAGACGTGCGGCCGAGCAAATGATAGCGACTTCCGCCTTCCCCCTCACTGCTTCTTGGGAGTTGCAGTTTCGCGGGATACCCTCCATTTTATTATGGATCGGTGCGGAGTCTACAAAAATTCCCAATTTGTTTTACTGGTTTGTTTTCTAAATTGCTGTAGGGAGATTCTATCACGGAACTTAGGAAGGTCCTAAGATTACGTGGGAGGATGTAAAGTGGGGAGTCGAGAAAGCCTTCGTACTACAAAAAGAGACCTTTGTCATTTAGATCAACGCTTTTTCCTTGTCAGCTCCGTACGGTCTTTCCCCACAATACCTGAGGCTGAATGTCACAAGATTCCTGGGCACAATGCATCTTGTTCAGAAAATACTTCAGTGACTTTCCCTCTACCTCGGGGTGAAGATCAAATCAATGGACAGAGGAAGCAAGATCAGCTGTCTTCTCTAGAGTGAGAATATTTGCTGTTAGAGAACTTCCAGCCACAAGGTATGGTCAGGTCAGAAGCACTCGGAAAACATACCCATAGTTTTTGCTATAGGGAAACTTGACTTAGGAAGGATGAAAAAGAACCCCATACCATACAGACTTCACCTTTTTTCTTTGTAAGATTTTATTTATTGGGCTGCCTGGGTGGCTCAGGCGTTGAGTGTCTGCCTTCAGCTCAGACCATGATCCTGGGGTCCTGGGATCGAACCCCGCATCAGGCACTTCTCTCAGCGGTAAGCCTGCTTCTCCCTCTCCCACTGCCCCTGCTTGTGCTCCCTCTCTCGCTCTAATAAATAAAAATCTTTAAAAACCCCAAAGATGGGGCGCCTGGGTGGCTCAGTGGGTTAAGTCTCTGCCTTCCGCTCAGGTCATGATCTCAGGGTCCTGGGACAGAGGCCCGCATCCGGCTCTCTGCTCAGCGGGTGGGCCTGCTTCCTCCTCTCTCTCTGCCTACTTGTGATCTCTGTCTGTCAAATAAATAAATAAAATCTTAAAAAAAAAAATTGGGGGCACCTGAGTGGCTGAGTGGGTTAAGCCTCTGCCTTCAGCTGGGGATCTTGATCCCAGGGTCGTGGGATTGAGCCCCCCAATCAGGCTCTCTGCTCAGTGGGGAGCCTGCTTACCTACACCCGCCCCCCCCCCCCCCCCCCCGCCTGCCTCTCTGCCTACTTGTGGTCTCTGTCAATCAATCAATCAATCAAATAAATAAATAAATAAATAATCAAATCTTTAAAAAATATATTAAGAAAACCCCCAAAGATTTTATTTGTCAGAGAGAGAGAGAAACACAGACGAACACAAGCAGGGGGAGTGGGGCGGAGAGAGCAGAGAGCCTGGTGCGGGACTCCATTCTAGGACACCAGGATCGTGGCCTGAGCTGAAGGCAGACGCTCAAGGACTGAGCCACCCAGAAGCCCCCACCCCCACCTTACGTCTATAATAAGAGACTGTAAGGCTGTTTGTGATCATCTTTTTTCCATAATTTCCCTTTATAATTTACACAGTAACAACCTCACCTTTTTAACTCTGGAAAAAAACGTTTGTTTTTAATACTTAGGACTCGTGTTCCAAGATTTTAAGTAGTTCTAGTATTGTACCATCAGAATATGAAAAATTGTGCTTGCTTCGGCAGCACATATACAGATGATGAAAAATTTTTAATAAAAAACCCCAGCAACATTATATCAAGTTCACCAGGATTTCACCTGTTAATTGGCCACTACAGTTGACACTTGAACACAGGTTTGACTGCCATTGGTACAGGTACCTGTGTAGTTTTTACACACAATACTATAAACCTTTTTAAAAAAGATTTTATTTAGTTATTTGATAGAGATAACAAGTAGGCAGAGAGGCAGGCAGAGAGAGGGAAGCAGACTCCCTGCTGAGGAGAGCTGGATGATGTGATGCCGGGCTCCATCCCAGGACTCTGGGATCATGACCTGAGCTGAAGGCAAAGGCTTAACCCACTGAGCCACCCAGGCGCCCATACACACAATAATGTAAATGCATTTTCTCTTCTGATTTTCTCGCTTTCCCTAGCTCTGTAATAGAGTATATAATGCATGTAACATGTGAAATATGCTAATGAACTGTTATCCTACAGCTTCTGGCCAACAGCAGGCTTTATTAAGCTTCGGGGAGTCAGAAATGCTTGTATTGTTCAGGGGCTGACTGCAGCCTATAAGCTCTTATGAAGGGAGCTATGTCCAGTTTTGTTTACTATAGTATATCCTGGTCAGCAATGTTTCACATCTAAGATAGCCTAATAAATTATCCATCTCAGACTGGCCCTGAAAAATTGAATACTAGTAAAGGCATTCTTCTGGCTTCCTAAATCAAAATAAACATTGGTAAACAGTGCTTTATTTTTTACGGTACACCTTATCCCAAACAAACTGTCACCAACAAGGTTACTCTAGGGGCACCTGGGTGGCTCAGTGGGTTAAAGCCTCTGCCTTTGGCTCAGGTCATGATCTCAGGATCCTGGGATGAAGCCCTGCGTGGGGCTGTCTGCTCAGTAGGGAGCCTGCTTCCCCCCTACTTTCTCTGCCTGCCTCACTGCCTACTTGTGATCTCTAATAAATAAAATCTTTAAAAAAAGACTTTACTCTAGGGCGCCTGGGTGGCTCAGTGGGTTGGGCCGCTGCCTTTGGCTCAGGTCATGATCCCAGGTCCTGGGTTCGAGCCCCACATCGGGCTTTCTGCTCAGCGGGGAGCCTGCTTCCTCCTCTCTCTCTGCCTGCCTCTCTGCTTATTTGTGATTTCTCTCTGTCAAATAAATAAATAAAATCTTAAAAAAAAAAAAAAAGACTTTACTCTAGAAAAATTCAGAAACTTTCATAAAAACAATGTACTGTCTTCATTCAGAAAACCCAGGATTTAGGTTTTCCCCAACCCACACTATCTCTCATTTTAGAAAGGCGGAATATGGGAATGTAAAACTAGTTCCAAATGGCCATCACATCAACTAACATTTCCTCCACCTCCCATTAAATAAGAGCAGCATACAAAGGCACACAATTATGAGCAAATCCAAATTTATTTTAACGCCATGTCATTTTCAACATGTTTAAAAACCTCATAAGTTAGTGGGAGCCCTAGTTCCCTGGGACAACATGCCAGAGGTACTGAAATCCATTACCTTTCTCTCCAAACCCCTAGCAAATCATCCAATCCAAGTCCACAGCTTCAAAAAGCTAGGAGTTATCTCTTCAGTCTGCTCCTCCGGTTCCTGGTCTTTCTTTCAGGGAGGGAGGTCAAAATATTTCAAACAGGGAACAAAACCACAGTTGAGCTTCCAGCCCGGGTTTCTAAAATGGAGCAGGGGAATGCACCACCCCTACTGACTCCAAACAAATGGACAAGGTTGAGATGGATTACTCCTTTACAGCTTTGTGAAGACAAAAAAAAAAAAAAAAAAGTCCTGTGGAACAAAAATGGCTAAAGAGATTTACAAATGAGGATCCATTTGACAGATGAGAATCTCTTGGTAAATGCAGGCTCCAGCTCCTAAAAATGAGAGGGGCCTAACCAGACAGTTTGGATCACAAAAGCAATCTGCCGCATGTGAATAAAAACAATCTGAGGAATATAGCTCCTCTCTGTTTTGAGGCCTGATAAAATACCTGGGGAAAGTGGGAAAAGAGAGGAACAAGCCCCAAAGATGGGAAAATGCTGACACCAAAGTGGTATAAAAAAATTTCAGCTGAGTTTTTAGTGGTGGTGGCTACTTTAGCCTTCTCCCTGTTCTGGTATAGGGCCATAAACCTTGACCAAGCAGAGAGTAGTAGAAAAAGGCTAGAAAGAGGGGCTTGAAGACGATGAATTTTGACTCCTGATTTTATTATTCAATTTCTCTTTTCTATTTAAAGTAGTCTTCAGTGGTTGGGAAGCCTGGCCTCCCAAGACCAGAGTCAGTTGGAGCTGGTTGTTGTTGGAAGGGGTTGGGGTGGGGACAGGGATGGGGGCCGGGAGACCCTGCTCTGTTGGCGGTCCTGGGTGGAGAAGACGAACTGCACTTCACAGAGCCTGGGGTGTGGTGGGAGGGGGATGAGGCAGGAGCAGCAAGCTGGGGAGATGGGACCCACCTCAGTCCCCAGCTTCATTCTCTTCTAATGTTTCCCCACTGGTGGCATTCTCTGCAGTCTTGGAGGCCTATATTCATGGAAAGGAGAGGAAGACTTCTCAGTTCCCAGCTACTTGCAATAGTATCTGGGAGACCAAAGACAAAAATATACTAATGCTCTAGGTCAGGGCTGAGGTGGGGGGAGGGGGAGGGGGCAATAAGGTTATACAGAAATATATATGCCCACCACAACCCAGGAAGGTAGACTAAAGAGGAATCAGGTTCACCATGCCAGACAGTAAAGATCAAAACATACCTTCTTTTTTTTCTTTTTCTGGGTTTTCCGACTTGCAGAACTCTGGAGGAGGGCCTGAAGAGGAGGAAGAAGGAAAACAAATTCTGAGCAATGCAGAGGAAACACGAAGTGTCACTCTCAGTGTCACAGCTCTTTTCAGGACTTTGTTGATACCTCACCCTCACTCCCAGGACAGGTGCCATGTGCTCACATTTTCCATCACACACTGACCTTTAGCTCTGCATCTTGGACCTCCATCTCAGACTTGTAGAGTTCAGGTTCAAAGGGGCCACTGGTTATCCGCATGGGGCCATTGGGCATGAGCAGGACTGTAAATTTAAACTGGGCAACAAATTCACCTATAGGAGGAAGGAAGTGTTTTGGTAAAATGCCCCCTCGTCGTACTCTTTTCTGTAAGCTAGAGGGAGAGGACCCTAACCAGGGGCTCCT